AACTCTGGAACTTTGGTAAAATGTCATTAATATAATATGAGTAATCCATTCATTTGTACAACTGGACTGTTTTTCACATCTTGATGTTCCTTGTAGAATTATCCATAGACAAATAGTATTGATCTTCTGTGTGTACACTAATTATCTGATTAGATCTTTATATATTATCTTCAGGTTAATCAGGATGCTTCCAAAAACTGTGACTCCATAATGGCTCATCAGTGCCAAACTTTTAAGAATTACTGGGAAAAATACTTTGGGACTTTAAATTCCTTTTAAAACCGTGGGATAGATACTGGCTGTACTTACATGAAAAATGGGATACATCCTTTGGCAGGGACCACACCATTTTGCTGAAAATTCAACCACCACGAGTTTGTGTCCAGCAGCTTCCAAAAATGTTGTAAATTCATTCTGAAACCAGAATGTAAATGAGGAAATATGCATAATTATGAATCTCATAAAATCTTGCAGAGAATGAAATGACAGGTTAGTTCTTAAAAACATTAACCAGCTGCCCCATGCTATTGTTCTTCAGTTGACCCAGCCTTTCCTAAATGTCTCTGAGCTCAGGCATATTTCTCTTTGCAAATACATACAAATGGTGAAGTCTATTCACCAAATGGGTTGGTAATGGAAGTTGGCCATGGTGGTTACTTCTGGAGAGAAACTGAGCTTGGCTTGGGAGAGATGAGGGCTGGAGGATGGGGGTGAACTGTTGCTCAAGGTGGATATCTATACTCGATTCTTTTGAAACAGGGGCCTGAACATGCATTTGTAGTGAAATTCAAAAGGAGAAGAACTAATCTAACACCTTGTGTCATTTCTTGTTTTGTTTTGTTTTGGGGACATGATCATTATTACTGCTACAGTTAAAAGCATACATTTAAGGATTTGACATGCTTTTGCTGAATTTCTTATGTCAATTTTCCATCAATTATCAATATAACCTAAGTAAAGTAGTTTCTCTCCTGGGAACCCAGATCACTGTATCCATACTTGCTTACTTTATGGAATACACTAGTTATTTCACGCATAGTTTATCTCCCCAAGTCCCTACAGGACTCAAGTTGGATTCACTCCCGTACCTCCCATGAACCATAACTGGCAAAGGGGAAGAGCTCATGGAGTGTTTGCTCGATGAATGAATGATTTGCTAATATATAGTGCTCTGTTTATTTATTTTTCCTTTTCTCACTGGAATTGCAACAATAGTAGCTAATTTGCTCTGTGCTTTATATTCTCTCTCATAGCTTTACAACCACCGTATAGAGTGTGTACTACTATTATCCCCATTTTACAGATGAGAAAAGTGAAGTCCATTAACTTTCTCATGGTCAACCAACTGGTGAGTGCTGTAGTTGGGACTGCTTACCTAGGCAGCCTGACTCCAGAGCCTGTTTCCCAAACCACAACAAAAATCCTTCCCCGAGTTCTTCACAGTAATGGGACTCACTGTCCCTTTCACAGTCCCTAACTGCATCATGTGCTCATCCCTGGACCCACCATTAGAATGAGGCAGATGGGATTATTAATTGGATCAAGTCAAGCAGGGGTTATCCCTCTTATGGTGGGGGGAGGTTAATTCCATACAAGTGGCATGCCTGCTCTACAGTAGGAAAGTCTTGACGATAATGTTGCTATTTTGTTTAATTTCAAGCTGGGGAAACTGATGACTCAAAGAAGATGCACTCTCTTTCTTTACCAATATTCCTCTAGGATGGGTACTAACTCTTCAGAGAGCCTTGCCAAGCCCCCATTTCTCACTTGCTTCTGAAGTTTTAAGGAAGAAGCCATCCTCACAAGCTCCCAACATCCTTCACTCCCCAGGAGCTATTGTTTGGGTGTGAGTTGGCCTAGGTTGACCCATGAACTTGACTTGGCTGCTTTCTGAAGGGAATGCTCCCATAGTACAGGTATTTATTTCAACATGTACCTATCGAGGTCGATGCTATGCCAGATACTGCACAAGCTGCTGGAATACAACTGTAGACAAAAAAAAAAAAAAACAGACAAAAAAAAAATTCCCTGTCTCCACGGAGCTTACATTTTACAAGAGGAAGCTCATGGTAAGATCAATAGGTAAAATGTGTATGTAGTATGTTAGTGATAATTGCTAATAAAGAAAGAAAAAAGAAAAATGAAGGAAGAAGGAAGGATGGAGTTTGGATTACCATTGCAGTCTGATGGCCAAGGTCAACCTCAAAGAGAAGGTGGCATCAGAATAAAGATAAGAAGGAGACAGCAGGTCTCAGGAAAGCTCTCTGAGGAAGAGAGGACAGGTGTCTTCAGGAAATAGTAAGGCCTTGGGCTATTCCATGAGATCCCCCCAAAATTACAAAAAGACGTGTCCAAAGCGTTAGTAAATGTGTGGCATTTTAAAACATTTTCTTATATCAAAGTTACAGGGCAATGCCTTCTTTTAATCTGTTTGGTGTCATTTTTGTGATTTTATGATTTTATGTATAACCACATTTAGGGAAAATGCCCCAAGTCTAAATCTGAGAGGACTGGTGGATGTGAGGCTCAGCCCTGTGCCCTCCCCCTCCCTCCAGCTCTCACCTCCTGTCATGAGGCATCAGGAGGTCTGGATTCTAATGCCCACCCACTCCTTAAACAAGGTAGCCCTTAACCTCTGTTTATTTTATTTTATTTAAAATTTTTTTTTCTGAGTGCTGGTTTTTAGAATCAAACTTCTCTTTTTGAGACAATTTTCTTCTTCTTCTTTTTTTTTTTTTTTTTGAGACAGAGTCTCACTGTGTTGCCTGGGCTAGAGTGCCGTGGCGTCAGCCTAGCTCACAGCAACCTCAGACTCCTGGGCTCAAGCGATCCTCCTGCCTCCTGAGTAGCTGGGACTACAGGCATGTGCCACCATGGCCGGCTAATTTTTTCTATATATATTTTAGTTGTCTAGCTAATTTCTTTCTATTTTTAGTAGAGACGGGGGTCTCACTTTTGCTCAGGCTGGTCTCGAACTCCTGAGCTCAAGTGATCCACCCGCCTTGGCCTCCCAGAGTGCTAGGATTACAGGCGTGAGCCACCGCGTCCGGCCTGAAGTATATTTCTAATGTCTTTGTATATTGTCTGTTTTTTTCTCTCTCTCTTTTTTGTCCGTATGGTGCTATATTTATTTATAATACTTGCTTGGCCCCTCTTAGCATTTGAGTTCGAGACCCCGGATTTGGATAAGTCTATTACTATAGCCAGGAATTTTATTCGTGGTTGCATATTGAAGATCTTATCCTCATCTACTTCTCTTCCTTCTTTACTTTCATTTTCATTCAGAAAAGAAAAATGGATGTTGACACAAACTGAACATCTTCCAAGCAGGGTTTCTCAACTGCAGCACTACGGATGCTTCGGGCTGATAATTCTCTACCATGGGGAGCTGTCCTGTGTATTGGAGGGTGTTTAGCAGCATTCCTGGCTTTATCTGCTAGATGTCAGCAGCAGCTCCAAGTGGTGATAAAAACAGATGTGTCCTGGGGGGCAAAAATGACCACATTGCTTATAAGTGTGGGCTTGGTTCTAAGCACCACTTTTTTTTTTTGGAGACAGGGTATCTCTCTGTCACCTGGGCTGGAGTGCAGCGGAGTGATTGTAGCTCACAGCAACCTCAAATTCCTGGGCTCAAACGATCCTCCTACCTCAGCCTCCAGAGTAGCTGAGACTACAGGCGTGTGCCACCACGCCCAGCTAATTTTTCTATTTTTTGTAGAGATGGGGTCTTGCTCTTGCTCAGGCTGGTCTCAAACTCTTGAGCTCAAGGGATCTTCCTGCTTTGGCCTCCCAAAGTGCTGGGATTATAGGCATGAGCCACCACACCTGGCCTGTATTACTTTTAAATATGTTATTTTACAAGTACCCAGGTAGTAAAAGTAATTGTAGCCATCTACAGATGAGACGATCGAGGTGCAGCAAGTTTAGCTAACTTATGCTAGTTAGAAGTAATTAGAATTCAAGCCTGGGCCACCTGTCACACAGAGAGGGACACAGGTCAGCTAAAATATGCAGGTCTCTTAGCAGATGTGAACTGAATTAAGAGAAAATTTGTTTTTCTCTGCACCAGGAAGACATCTACCATTCCCACCCTCCATTTCTTTATATAACTATCTCTTCTTGAACTTCTCTTGATTGCATTTGGAGAGAAGGTAGTTCAGAATTGACTCTTAGACACAACTACTAAACCTGCAAACTCCGGTCACATTCCTGGGGTTTCCAGAAGTCAAGCAAGGCGGGGCCAGTACTTCTGCCTGTCAGCACTAGGGATTATAGACTTTTTCATGGACTTTGCTGCTAAGAAGCTTGCCCAGCCCAAGGGCAGGGAGAGTACAAACTGATGGCTCACAAAGGTCTATTTATTCCCAACTAGAATAAGCACTGTTAAAATCCAGAAAATGGCCAAATTCATCAAAATTGATATCTTTTTTTTTTTTTTTTTCCTATGTTTTGCAGAGAGAGAGCCTAGTCAGTAAGCAGGGAAAATTTCTAGTCCTGGAAAAATCTCCTTCTAGAAAGAAGCAATCCAGGCTTTCCCTTTGCACTTGATTACCTTCTTTGTTTCCCTGACATTCACCCACACTATTTTCCTAGACTCATTTCTGACCTCATTGTTGACTCCCGAAGCTCCAAGACAGTCTGGGTGGAGTCTCTTTTTGAGAAGTCAGGGTTGCATATTTTTTGGTTGTTGTTGTTTTAAAATTTAATCAGGGGCAGAATCCTGAGAGTGGGTTGGGAATTTGAAATCTTGAAAAATCAACAAGAAAAACAGAGAGTGGGAAGAAAAGAAATAAAGAGAGGAAAGGAAAGAAAAGGAAGAGAAGAAATGCTGGTAAGAGGGAAAGGGAGGAAGAAAGAACAACAACAAAAAAAGGCAAAGTGAAGAAAAGTTAAAAAAAAAAAACGAAAAGAAGATGAGGAAGACATTGTATACAGAGAGAATAAAGCACTTATAAGTAGGACTTTCATTATGTGAATTCTCTTCTGTGCTCTAAGACCTTGCTATTCAAAGCCATACGTAGACATTGGCATTGCCGGGAACTTGATAGAAATGCAGAACTTAAGGCTCCACCCTAAAGCCACTTAATTGGAATCTATATTACATAATTCCCCGTGTAGTTCTGTACTCATTGATGTTTTAGAAGCACTGCTCTAGAGATAGAGCATTTATGAAAGGGAGCTGTCTGTGGACTAGTGAACCAGCAGCAAGGCATTGCTTGGGAACTATGAGAAATGCAAATTCCCAGGCCCCACCCTGGACCTGCTGACCTGCTGAATCAGAACCTCCAAGGGTGGAGCCCTGCAGTGTGTGTTTTAACAAGCCCTCCAGATGATTCTGCTGTATGTTCACATTTGAGAACCACTGGGCTTGATTTCTTGATTTTTGGTTTTTTGCTTTGTTTTGTTTTTTGAGACGGTGTCTTGCTCTGTTGCCCAGACTGGAGTGCAGTGACATGATTGCAACTCACTGCAACCTCCAACTGCTGGGCTCAAGTGATCCTCCTGCCTCAGCCTCCTGAATATCTGGGACTACAGTCACTCACCACCATGTCTGGCTAATTTTTTTTATTTTCTGTAGAGACAAGGTCTTGCTATGTTGCCCAAACTAGTTTCAAACTCCTGGCCTCATTCAATCTACCACCTTTGGCTTCCCAAAGTGCTGGTGTTACAGGCATGAGCCACCACACCTGGCAAGATTTTGTTTTTCTTTTAACAACTGGGTGGAATTATGTTGGTCAGGTATATCATGTCCTCAACACCTAATGATGCAGGAATATTGTTAAAAATATTTAATAACAGGAGTGGCTTGGCTGCTGATCAGAATAGATAACAGCTGTGCATCTGCTCAGCTGGCTGCTCTGCTAAGCGTTAACCCTCCTAGTTCCTGGATTTTGGGGGAGATCCAGGGTGTTCTAGGAGAGGGATTAGGTCAGCCTCAACAAGGTAGGGAATGCATTATTAGTATGGGAATAGGGTGGGGGGCAGAGGCTATTTATTAACCATTATGTATTTCAATAATAACAACTGGTATGACCATTCCTGTGTGTACCCGCTGAACATCAGCCTTGTGATATTGATGATAAACTAAACAACTGCTCTTCCTAGGCATCAAATGGTTAACTTCAACATTCATAAGTGAGTTATTTATTAGAAAAAAATAATTCAAAATTAGCGTATTTGCTTAGAATCTCAACATGAAAATGGGGTTCTTTGACAAAATTTATCACCATTCAGTGACCCCTTTACTATTAGGAAGCAAAACTGTGTTAGGTCCCCCAGCCAATGGCTAATCTCAGGGACAGGGCAAGAAAAAGCTCTATTAATTGAAAGGCACTGGGTGCTGGCCCCAGGTTATTGGGCAGGAGTCACAGTGGTGGATATTATGGACAGTACACATCTTGGGTAGTGTGGAGGAAAAAGAAGGCACGAGGCCAAGGACTCAAAGAAAGACCAAGATGGATAAGACCATTCTGACTCCTCATTCAA